GCTCAGTGACGGTAACGGGCCAGCTCAGTGAAGGTAACGGGCCAGCTCAGTGAAGGTAACGGGCCAGCTCAGTGGAGGTAACGGGCCAGCTCAGTGAAGGTAACGGGCCAGCTCAGTGACGGTAACAGGCCAGCTCAGTGAAGGTAACGGGCCAGCTCAGTGACGGTAACGGGTTATTCCAATGAAGGGACTGGCAAAGTTCAACATTAAGCAGCAATGACCGGCAGAATTTGCACATTTTCTATGTATGTAGCTAAACTTTATTCTTCATCTCAAGCTTGGCTAATTTATTAGTAAATCTTGGCATTCAAACTATTTTTTGCGTGGAATCTCGTTTTACAAAATAGAACAACGGAGAATAATTTTGCAGAAGCAAGTTGAAGTTGAACCGAAATGTGATAAGAAGATTAGTTCGAGTGCTATAATCGCAACGTGCCTCGAACTTAATCTGTATTTAATAGAAGAGCAATTTACTATGATCGCAACAGTCATCGCAATTCCTCTATACATCACGATCTCATACTTGAAAACTCTGTAATAAGTTATTCAACCTTATCTCAAAGCTATCTTACCAGATATCGCATTAAAATTTTATTTTCTGTTACTACACTAACTAAAAAAATCCTGATTTTGCAACTTTGCGGGAATATTCAGCCGAAAATCTTTTGAAGGACTAAAGTTTATAAAAGGATGTCTAAAAACTCAAAAGAAAGGAACAAATATTTTATTTTATTTACAAATTAACACAAGGAATTTGTCACTGCATTTCACGTAAGGAAAGACCTGCGTATATTCAATTTTTCGGTTAAGTAGTTCAGTTCAAAATCTTACGAGCGTTTATCCCAGGTTTTCAATCATGATTATATCAAGCAAATTATAAAGCTCGAGAGAAAATCTTCTTCGGAAGACGACTAGTGTCAGAGTACAAAATTAAGAAATCTATCGTAGAGCGTTGCAAGAAAATTCAAAATTGATTGCTTTGAAATCAACTAAAAACAATAAACAAACAATTGAAATCAGATCTCGATCTGCTCTCTTATTCTAATAATTTTCGACACCGTGCCCTTCGTTTTTGACTCCCGGGCGAGCAACGTATATTTTACACATTTCCCAGTAGAGAATCGTCATGCTGTCGCCAGAGGCATGTTCGATTAGAATAGGATTCACTCCATCCGCGGCCAGAGTACAGACGACGTCGCCGCACTGCGCGCGTCCTACACGTCCCACTATGATGTCCCTGAAACAATTATCCACTTCATAGGTCAGCATGTGCAGGATAGCCCCGGTCCTGAAGCACTTGAAGGTGTAGTAGCCGTGGATGTTGGCAGTCACATGGACATTTTCGTTGAGGAACACCACGCGAAAGTACAAACTCGGACGGGGCGCGGAGTAAGGGTTATGACTACGTGCAGTCTGCGAGTGTCGACGCGCAACTGTCGTGCTGAGGAGAGAGAAGCGAAAAAATAGCATTAGATACAAAACCTGACATTAGGATCGATCATAAAATGAATATTCGAAGGTAAATTTAGCGTCATATGTATAATAATCCTTGAATATAATACAAGCCGTGAATACAATTAAGCCTTGAATATAAACTTTGAATATAACGCAAGTCTTGAATACAAGCCTTAATTGGATATAGCACAAGCTCTGAATACAACAAGGCTTGTGTCGTAAATCAAGTTTAATCTGCTGACGATAAAGCCAAAAGCTAGCAAATTTAGAACACATGGTTGAAGAAATATAATGGGTTGCGAAGCCCGGCATTAGCGGAGCAACAGCATAGTATGTTCTAAGAAAACATGGAGAGATTGGTCTGTAAATTTATATCACACAAATATTTCGCATCCTTAAGTCTCTAAAATTCCTCACCTGTGATCTTCCATTGAAGCGTTTGCTGATTCAAAGTTTGACGTAAAGTGAAGTGAAGTTAGCTCAAGCGATTTCTTTTTCGGTGAGATGACAGAGTGTTACCCAGCGTTAAAGTAACAATTTTAGGCTAAACAGAAGCTTATATACGTTTTCAAAGGCGCCATGTTTGCATCCAATTGGTCGTCATAATTTGAATGTACGGCCCATTTTCCCGCCTAACACAGGCTTCCTTCCTGTGATAGGCTCCTAAAACGGATTTTTTTTTCGATGAAAGCAAAATACAAATTCCAGAAAGGCGAAGGCGGGCGAAGACGTACGTCACGTTTAATTGTGCCCAGGTAATCAGTCTTGTAATTTTTTACCTGGCACAAACCAGGTTTTTTTCATATCAGTCTTGTACTTTTTTTGCGATCTTTGAGATCCCAGTACAAAATTGCCGGGGAAAATTATTTAAATTTATATATTAATATATTATTTATTAGTCAATTATTGATAATTTGGGGAAGAATGATAGTAAAATATGAACAAAACCAATACTGGAGAAATATTGAATCCTAAATGAATTTATCAGATGTCCGAAATTAGACTATATGGTCAGAAGTCGAAGATTTTAAATATTTTATGCATTCAAAAGTCAACTAAAGTTCCTTAAATTTATATAAAGGAATATATTGTCTGGATCAGAACCAATGATTTTCACATTCTTTGATTGCATGTCAAAGATTGAAATATGTACGTGGAAACTCTATCGATTATTCATATTGATTTACACTTTAAAAATATTTATATTATTTATTTATTCAAGGACGTAAGCTCTTATGAAAAATACATATTTATTATAGGAACATCAGTTATTTCATCAAAACACTGGTGAATATAAAGTGTTATATGTTTCGGTCCCGCGAATTTATATGTAGATCATCAAACGCAACTAAATAGAATTTTACCGTAGGAGTGCACGCGAAATGTTGCGTATAGTCGTAGAAATTGTTTTCACTTTATATTAATATTTCAATTGCATTCCTTAATAAATTGATGTGCATCAAGACTGCAATGACTTAATTATTTATTGTTTTGCGTTCTACCCTTGACCCTGTATACCTCATGCACCAGACCATTCATATTCTAGCAAGATTGGGCGGGAAATAAGTTAGAATAAAAATTCAGAACATATCAGTTCAAAATTGAGAACTACAGACGCGCACCAAAACTAAGAAACATCAACAACCGAACATTCATTTACAGTCAAAGTCTAAAAAGTCTTACAGTCTAAGAAAAATACATGGTCGACAATACAAAATCGGATCGTGTAAGCTACGGAATAATGCTTTGCATGAAACTAACTTCGCTTTACATGAAACAAACTTCGCTTTGCATGAAACTAACTTCACTTTGCATGAAACTAACTTCACTTTGCTTTAAACTAACTTCACTTTGCGTGAAACTAACTTCACTTTGCATGAAACTAACTTCACTTTGCATGAAACTAACTTCACTTTGCATGAAACTAAATTTGCTTTGCATGAAACTAACTTCACTTTGCATGAAACTAACTTCACTTTGCATGAAACTAACTTCACTTTGCATGAAACTAATTAACTTCGCTTTGCATGAAACTAACTTCGCTTAGCATGAAACTAACTGCACTTTGCATGAAGCTAACTTCGCTTTGCATGAAACTAACTTCGCTTTGCATGAAGCTAACTTCGCTTTGCATGAAACTAACTTCGCTTAGCATGAAACTAACTTCGCTTTGCATGAAACTAACTTCGCTTTGAAAGAAACAAACTTCGCTTTGCATGAAGCTAACTTTGCTTTACATGAAACTAACTTCGCTTTGCGTGAAACTAACTTCGCCTTGCTTGAAACTAACTTCGCTTTGCGTGAAACTAACTTCGCTTAGCATGAAGCTAACTTACCTTTACATTAAGTTAATTAATATCGATTTGCATGAAACTAACCTGGGTATGCACGTAGTTAACTTGTGTATGCGTCATTCTAACCTAGGTGTATACATGAAACTGCGTGTAAAGCTAACCTATATACAGTATATGCAAGAAGCTGCCTTAAATGCCAGAAGCTGACTGAATCGAAAATGTAGTTGTGTTCAATCAATTAAAAATAGTTTAGCGCATTGATTACCGAATGTCTCTAGAGTATATAACTCGAAAATTGTTTGGAGAAACATTAATTGCTTGGTTTCATTCGTACCCATTATAATTCGTAAATGTGCATGAGGGAGTTTTTTCTTCATTGGTGACATTTGATTTCAATTTGAATCAGTTTGATTTCTGTATCATTATTGTTTGTTTATCTATAGTGATATATTTTTATATCCATGCGGACAGTCTATAAAAGAGATTTGATAAGGTGTAGAATTCGCTGTTATTTGTTCCCATTAGTGAAAGTTTATTGTATTGTTCTTATTTTTGATAGAATCAATTACTGCCTGCGGAACCTACTTGCTTAAATAAGCATTTTCTATTGGACCGAAGCTCTTCGACATTAATCATAAATGTTTCAGCTGCTCTTTTTTCTTTTCATCTGTCATTGAAGAATTCAGAAATGACGAACGATAACAATGTATAATTGTGACCCCAAAATCACCTTCCAACATATTATGTTATTTCAAAATCAATTCAGCCCGCCCGAGGAATATAGAGTGAGATGCACGGAATTCTGCTCCAATTTTTACAACACTTCTCTTTAACTTCATTTAATGTGTTTGCTTGTCTACTACAAATCTTATATTCGATATTTAACACACTTTCTACCTGTCTAATCGATCTGAAATTTTGCACACTCGCGTAAAGTTGGAGACAATGCATGAATCAATTGATAGAATAAGTAATTTTGAAAATTTACAAAATTTTTGAATATTAAACAAATTTTTAAATAAATTTTTTAAATATCTGAAAATAAAATTAGAAATTCATCGCACATGTGTAACATCAAAGCACAGGATTCTTTAGAAGTGTTGTCTTTAAAAAGTAATTTTTAAACTCATAATAATAATAATACGCAAGAGATTCATGCCGTATGTGACCTGTAGAGCGCGATGGAAATGTGAGTGCTGGTCGCATAGTTAAGATAAGATAGACTTTCAAACATTTCGGTTCCTGATTAAATAGGAGTTGAAGGCTATTCGAATTTAAATCTGGGGGCTTGATTAAATAGTAAAAATCTAAATCTATCTTGCACTATTTCAGGCAGAAATTATAAGAGAATTTTTGGGTTATATGCCTTCATAGTAGGCAAGCACTTTCACGGTAAATTGTAATCCCTCTAAATTGCATCCTCGAAACACATTTTTTTTTCAATTGCGTCTGTCGACAAAAATTTTTGATGGCAGAACTATCTCATTAAATTTTAAAACGTACGGAGAGAAGGAAAATGTAATTTTTGCACCGGAACCTGCAAATTTTCCTTACAAATTTTTTACAAAATTCCGCGGTTCCGCGGACTTGACCTTTTTTATGCTATCTGGCAATGCTTGTGGGTCGGGTCTCACTCAATGTGTTAACTCCAGATCTCTGTTCCAATTTTTTTACCTAGCAGTGAAAGTCGACAGGCGCGGTGTCTATAATTAATCATCGTGTCACTGGTTAGTTCCGCTGCAGTATAATCCCATCAATAGCAATTTCTTACACCTACTCGGGACAGAATACAGTAGCGTCCTACACTTGCTTGTGTTATGCTCGGTCATCGCATTATGAAAAAAATCGACTTGATCTGTTACATACCTGCGCGGTCCACCTATAGGCTGGGAAACTTCGGCTGTGACCCGACGTTCATTGTAGCTTCAGTAGCTGGATTATGTTCTCTTAAAATACGCGGAACACGAGATTAACTCTCCGTTTATTGGTGGGTCAAACTCATAGCAAAGCAAAAGTTATAAAACTGTCGAAAAGAACCATTTCCAGAATAAATGAAATTGTCAACTATTGCCAAAAAAATGACACCTGCATGGCAAAGATCTGCGGTGAATATTTTTGGGAGAATATACGACCTTCAGTTGAACCTGAGGTTGGATTTAATTGTGAGTCAGGTGTGAAAACACAGCGTTTTTTGACATATATGATTATAAATGAAGTTAGACTTTTCCCAAACAACTGACCATGTTCAAGAATTTCTTAAAGAATTTTTTTCTGTTTCAAACAGAACAAGAAATTATTGATGCCATAATCCCAACGGCATGATCTTAGAGGCACAGGATTTTCTTACACAAGCTCTCTACCTCAAGTAATTAAAATAACACACATTCAAAAACTCATAAAAAAATTTATTGCAACTCAAATCAGAAGTAGCTGTTCATTATTTCGCAAAATAATGCAGAGTTTGTGGTAGGACGCGTGCAGTGCGATTGTTATATAATGATAGTTATACCTGCACGCAGAGGCAGAGTCTGGAGCTTTCTGTCTAACGCATGACGAAAAGTCTATGGAAAATGCTGTCTAAAAGTGATTACAATGAGCAATATTGCTTTTTATGGAAATAAATTTATACGCTTACGTATGTCATCTCATCTCAATGACATAATATATCGAAAAATATTTTGACGTTTCTTAAATTATAGTCAAATTCTTCCGATCGCCTCCATGTATAAGTAAAAATTTTCTATTACAAACTATACAAGCCATAAAGTCACTCTTGTCTCATGGGAGGTCGTCCCAAGGCTCTAGGCTTAGTGAAGTTTCAATAAACAGGCAAGACGGATTGATATCCGTGGCAAATCTTTTCCTTGCACCCATGGGGCAAGACATGCACACACTCAGAAAATTCAATGGTTCACTTTGTCCAAATATTCATATACGTTTTATAACCCACAGCACGAGCATAGAGCGCACGTGGCACGGATACGCGCATTTTCTGGACCGAACTGGGACCATATATACTTTCAAAACTCGCTAAGTGAACGTAAGTACTTACGCTCTATTTTCTTGTCTATGATTGGTGGATTTCGCTTGAAAGGCCGTCAATGATTGGCTGATGAACTTACGATCTCTTAACTTTTATTGGAAGTATAGGCCCTGTGTCAGGATGGATGACCCACATAGGGCAAAAAGTGCATAGCTACAGTATATTTGGGCCCATCTCCTTTAGTGCAGCGTTCAGAGGATCACGTCATTGTTCAATGTTGCATTTATTCATGTAGCTAGCTTCATAAATTGCTACATAAATAGCTACATGTAGCTATACGAAGCTAGCTACATGTAGCTAATAAGCTAGCTACTTGTAGCTACGAAGTTAGCTACATGTAGCTACGAAGCTAGCTACATGTAGCTACGAAGTTAGCTACGAAGCTAGCCACATGCAGCTATGAAGCTAGCTACATGACCTGACGATCGAGCTACACGTCTCCTAATTGTAGCTAGCTACACGACCTGACGACCTACAAGTCTCTTACTTGTAGCTAGCTACACGTCCTAACGAGTTACAGGTCACCTAATTGTAGCTAGCTATATATGACCTGACGAACTACACGTCACCTAATTGTAGCTAGCTACACGACCTGATGAGCTACATGTCATATGTAGGAGCTGCTACATATCATGACTATAGAGAGCTTCACCTCTCGAAAAGCGGACAGTGTTTCCATTTACATGCATCGTACAGCGATTATGTACAATCTCGCCTTGTTCTCAATTATAGTCCTCGAAAGCGCTATGTCAAAAATTGAATAACTAAAGCCTGAAAGTGTTCAAACCTAAATTACTGAAATCAATAGAAATATGCGAAACGACTGCTATTACAATTATATTATATAATGGCTGTCAATCGTTAATATTACCAAATATAACGTCAACTACGAGTTACATATGTCACGCCCGTAACGTGTTAGTGAAGTGCTCTCCAGTAACGCCCATTGTGAGAAATGAATAATTCACCAATTATATTCACGCCAGGCTTAATTTATATGATCTAATATTAGCTTAGAATTTTTCAAGTCCGCCTAATCAAATTTATCCCAGTGATAATTAAATAGGGATTTGAAGTCAAGGGTCGGAGAGCGGCCCCAAAATCAGTTTTCAATTGCATCCAACAATACTCGCCGCCGGTTAAAGCCAAAAGTCATTCCGCCTTGACGCACTGTTCAAATCTTATTGCGATTCAGGCTTTTAAATTCGAAACTTTCGTGAAAATTGCCGTTTCCGAACCGTGCGGCAACCATATACGTACGTAAAACAAACGTCAATGCATTTAATTATTCTGTCTTGCTATAAACCTGTTTCTCTATTCCTGGGTTTGATATGGATGTCGTGTGAATTTCATTTGGTTTATTTTTTGCTCTATTAAATTGATTTATTAAATCTGTTGGAAAGTTGGACTTACCCAGCGGCTTGTAATTTCAAATTAATTTCAGTTCAAATTCCAAGCTTCAAATTTAGTTATTAGTTTATTTAAATTAAATTTATTAATAAACTCATTTTTTAGTGTTCTTCGTTCGAGAAGTTCGTTATTTTTCTACGTTACTTGCGGAGCTTCAAAAATTAGCCTTAAGTCATTATCTCAATTTCCAAAGTATCGAAATCTTAAACTGTTCTTCCTGTTTTTCCTGATATAATTTTTTCCGCTATATTCGCTATACGAATATAGCGAGCTATGTGAAAACTTACTAATATAGCGAGCTATATGAATACTTACGACTATAGTGAGCTATATGAATAATTGCGAATATAGCGAGCTATATGAATAATTACGAAAATAGCGAGCAATATGATTACTTGCGAATATAGCGAGCTATATGAATACTTGCGAACATAGCGAGCTATACGAATAAATACGAATATAGAGAGCTATTTTTTATATGAATAAATACGAACATAGAGAGCTAAATGAATACTTGCGAATATAGCGAGCTATATGAATAATTACGAAAATAGCGAGCAATATGATTACTTGCGAATATAGCGAGCTATACGAATAAATACGAATATAGAGAGCTATTTAATAGTTACGAATATAGCGAGCTATATGAATACTTGCGAATATAGCGAGCTATATGAATACTTGCGAATATAGCGAGCTATATGAATAAATACGAACATAGAGAGCTATATGAATAATTACGAATATAGCGAGCTATTTGGAAAATTACGAATATAGCGAGCTATATAAATACCTTCGAATATAGCGAGCCATATGAATACTTACGAATATAGCAAGCTATATGAATAACTACGAATGTAGCGAGCTATATGAATACTTACGAATATAGCGACTATATGAATACTTACGAATATAGCGAGCTATATGAATACTTACGAATATAGCGAGCTATACAAATATATACGAATATAGCGAGCCATATGAATACTTACGAATATAGCAAGCTATATGTATAACTACGAATGTAGCGAGCTATATGAATACTTACGAATATAGCGACTATATGAATACTTACGAATATAGCAAGCTATATGAATAACTACGAATGTAGCGAGCTATATGAATACTTACGAATATAGCGAGCTATACAAATATATACGAATATAGCGAGCTATATGAATACTTACGAATATAGTGAGCTATATGAATACATACGAATATAGCGAGCTATATGAATACCTACGAATATAGCGAGCTATATGAATACTTGCGAACATAGCGAGCTATACGAATAAATACGAATATAGAGAGCTATATGAATAATTACGAATATAGCGAGCTATATGAATATATACGAATATAGCGAGCTATATGAATAATTACGAATATAGCGAGCTATATGGAAAATTACGAATATAGCGAGCTATATGAATAAATACGAATATAGCGAGCTATACANCCCGTAACGTGATAGTGCAACGTTGCCCCGTAACGCCCGTAACGTGATAGTGCAACGTTGCCCCGTAACGCCCGTAACGTGATAGTGCAACGTTGCCCCGTAACGCCCGTAACGTGATAGTGCAACGTTGCCCCGTAACGCCCGTAACGTGATAGTGCAACGTTGCCCCGTAACGCCCGTAACGTGATAGTGCAACGTTGCCCCGTAACACCAGTAACGTGATATAGTGCAACGTTGCCCCGTAACGCCCGTAACGAGAGAGTGCAACGTTGCCCCGTAACGCCCGTAACGTGATATAGTGCAACGTTGCCCCGTAACACCCGTAACGTGATAGTGCAACGTTGCCCCGTAACACCCGTAACGTGATAGTGCAGCGCTGGCCCGTAACGCCTGTAACGCTTCATTTTGCTCCGTATTAAGTCAGTTTTTTGGGGTTGTGATGAACTTAGACCGATGACTGGCTTATGCATTCATTAATGCATTTGTACCTCACTCATATTTGTAAGAATAGTGCTCCACTCATGATCATACACTTTAATTTTTATGCCTCATTCATATTCGTAAGATTTGTTCACTGCCCGTCACGCTCAGGAAAACGCATTCAATCCTTAACCAGAAATATCTTATGCGTGATATTAGACCTTTGATGGGATCTGGGGAATGACTTCATAATGTAAATTATTGATGAACAAGTCTTGAGTTTAGTTTTTATCATCTATACGAGCTTTGGACTTAAAATACCGTGTTCATTATCACAACCTTTTTTATGTTGCACTGTGCGCGGACGTGGTGTGCGTGTTGTTTTTTACATAGGGCTTGAAGGTTTCTTCGTTATTCTCAAAGATTATTTAATTCATCATTACATCGTTTATTTGATTTTTGATGTTGCCAGTTTTTTTCAGCGATCGTGTTATTTACTTAATGTCAGTTGCGTCGTTGTTTACGTATCCGTTGCAAGTGCGATATTTATTTGGTAAGTCATTGTAGCAGCCGCGTGCTCTTCCTCGTCTAAGATGCATGTGGTCAAATGTTCACGTCTGATTTATTACAGTCGCGTTGTTTTGTGAAATCTTAGTTGCAGTTACGATGTTATGTTTATTTTAGATCGTGCAGTATGGTTAGAACTCGCAGTTTTACTTGCAGTCGCCTTACGCCGACCTGTTCTACTTGAACGATGCGTTTGCGAGACGCCTTTGCCCGCCCTCCGCTGTTCTTAAATTTGCGTTTCAGGATCCAAAAAATAACTTCCTGTTTAATGAGCCTATCACAGGAAGGAGGCCTGCGTGGGCGGGCAAAGGGACCGTACATTCAAATTTTTAGGACAAATTAGAGTCCAAGATGGCGGCTGAGAAAACGTATATAAGCTTCGGTTGGAAAAATAATCGTGTATTCAGGATTTTTACTCGAACTCTACCATGGCTGAGCAAAGGTGAGCAATTTTAGAAACTTAAGGATGTAAATTATTTGAGATAAATTTACAGACCAATTATCTCCTCGTTTTGAAAGAACATATTAAGCTTTTTCTCCGCCAACGCCAGACTTTGCAACCCATAATAGTTCTAGAACCTTGTGCTATAAAATTAGCTAATTTTTTAGTTGGCTGAATTTGTTATATATTTAAGGCTTGTGTAATTTATTATACATACGGTACAACAGATTAATTTATTTTATGATCGGTGCAGGCAAAGTTATTGTTACTAAGTTCAACTAATCTCAGGTTATGTTGTTACTGATGTTTTTTTCTCTTCTCTCTCCTCAGCACGACAGTTGCGCGTCGACACCCGCAGACTGCACGCAGTCACAACCCTTACTCCGCGCCCCGTCCGAGGTTGAACGTTCGGCAGGTGCTCTGCAGCGATAATGTCCATGTGACTGCCGACACCCACGGGTACTACACCTTCAAGTGCTTCAGGACCGGGAGCGTCCTGCGCATGCTGACCTATGAAGTGGATAATTGTTTCAGGGAGATCAAAGCGAAACGCGTTGGACGCGTGCAGTGCGGCGACGTCGTCTGTTTCGTGGCCGCAGATAAAGAGACACCTATTCTCATCGAACATGCCTCTGGCGACAGCATGGAGATCCACCACGGTGACATGACTGATATATACCTTGCTTACCCTAGAGTCGAGAACAAAGGACACGAACAGTATTAGAGCAAGGGAGCATAGATCTAATTGTTATTTTTAGCTGATTTATAATTTATAAGAATTCGATTTAAAATTTTCGGAAAACGCCCTAGGCTAATAGAGCTTTTTTAAATTTTGTGCTCTAACGCTAGTAGTTTCCGGAGAAAATTTTTCCTCGAGCTTTAATATTTGCTTGATATAATCATGAATGCAAACTTGGGATATTTAATTCATCAGATGATGAATAACAAAATTTAATTCTTCATATGCCGTAACAACAAATGAACAACGTAACCAAAAAATTCGACGGATATACACAGATCTTTTCGAACAGAAAATGCAGTGAAAAATTACTTATTTTAATTAGAAAATAAAATAAAATATTTGTTAATTTCTTCTAAGTTTTTAACATCCTTATATAAACTTTAGTGCTACAAAGGTTTTTCGGCTGAATATTCCCGAAACGTTGCAAAATCAGGATTTTTTTGATAATGATATAACAGAAAATACGAGTTTTTTTTATAGTGACGCAACAGATAATAAATTTTTGAAATAAAATTGAATAAGATTGCTCTGAGGTTGAGGTAAGATTGAATAACTTATTCCAGAGTTTTCAGGTATGAGATCGTGATGTAGGTATAGAGGAATTGCGATGACTGTTACGATCATAGCAAAAATTGCTCGCCTATCGTATAAAGATTGAGTTCGAGGCACGTTACGATTATAGCACTCGAACTAATCTTCTAATCACATTTCGGTTCAACTTCAACTTGCTTTTACAAAATCATTATAACTTATTTTACTTTGCGAAACAAGTTTCCACGCAATGAATGGTTTGAATGCCAAGATATACCTACTAGTAAATTAGCCAAGCTTGAGATGAAGAATGAAGTTTATCTACCTATATAGAAAAATGTGCATATTTTGCCGGACAATTGCTGTTGATGTTGAACTTTGCCCAGTCCCTTCATTAATTAAGGTAACCCGTTATCGCCACAGCTGCCCATTACTTTCACAGAGCTGGCCCGTGATCTTCATTGAGTTGGCCCATTGCCATTACCATCACTGAGCTCGCTCATTATCGTCACCGAGCTGGCCCGTTGCCCTCACTGGGCCCATTACCTTTACTGAGCTGGCCCATGATCTTAATTTAATAGAGAGTGTTCAAAGACGTGCAACAAGGATAATTCCGGGCTTGAAAGACAAGTCATATGAGGGAAGATTAAAGATTATGAAACTTCCAAGCCTCAGTTATCGACGTCTGCATGGAGACCTCATTAAAGCATACAAGTATACACATGGCTTATACAAGGTCCAAGAAGGATTACTAGAATTTGAAACAAGAACCAACACCAGGAGCCACGGCTACAAACTAAAAAACTGCGTTGTAACACATCCATGCGACATCATTTCTTCTCGCTTCGAGCCACCGACATGTGGAACAGCTTACCTGATAGCATCGTTGACGCTCCGAGTATGAACGCCTTCAAGAAAAGACTAGACGAAGCTATGAAGGAGCATATATTCAGTCTTAAAATGCCTAGCAATTTACGGACCAGGCAATAAGTCCAGCAGCTCTCTCAATCAATCGTCAGTTATGGAAATATTAGGTTCCAAAGGCCGGATCCCTTGTGAATCAAGTCACGAAAAGTACAAGAATCGGCATGGGCCTATTTCTTCAGTGCCGATACTTCTATTTAGCTGCCGTGAGCTGGCCCATGAACTTCACTGAGCTGGTCCATTATTTTCAGTGAGCTGGCCCATGATCATAACTTAATTGATATTCACCGAACTGGTGCAACTGGGGGACATGAATAAATTACCATTACCTATTAATTTCCCTGAGCTGGCACATGATCTTCATGGTCGAGGATCAACCATGCAGGATCTAAACCTAACTGATCTTCACCAAGCTGGTCCAACTGGGTGGTATGAATAAAATGTGTGGTATTTGCAATAGACATAAACAGGACATTGACTGCGATAATTTCTCAAAGGCAAATTTCGTGTTCTTGATAAATAAAATTATATAATTTTGTCGATGTAAAAGTAAAAAAAATGTAGTTTGCGCACTAATAATTTTCTGTGTTGCCTTTCGCCGATTACGCTTGACGACCGTCTCCGCTTCATGAGGTACGTAACAAATGAAGGTCTAAAATACGATTGTCTTTTATTCGAACACATGTTGAAAACGTTAGAAGGGAAGAAGTTTATCAAGATGCAATAAAGCTCTTTAAATTATTTGTTACGTTCTAGAAAGAATTGGTTAATAAGTAGTACGGTTATGATGGATCCTTTTTGGCGTAGCTACGCTTGGTATTTTGGTGAGTCATTCAAATTATTACTAAAAACTGAGTAAGAGCAACATTAGTTATTACAGATTTCAAATTTTAACTCTTATCAATTTATCAAATACCAGAAAAACTCCAAATTATGCGATGCATTAACTGCACAAAGAAATGACAAAGCTAGAACTAAGAAATTTTAATGTGAAATTATAGTTATCCCCGACTTCCCCGTTACTTTTGCATAGAATATTAGGTTATTTAGGTAATTGAGTTATACAATTTGATATCTAGCTCCATCCGCCATCGCAATGTGACATGTGTCAGCCCTAAATAGTAAATAGAACTAGGGAAGTTAAGCTGATTCAGTGATTGTTTCTTGAATCTCACTAAGTAGCAAGTAATTTATTTAGTGCTTACCTAATATTTGTAAATGTCTTCTCATTTGGCAAATTGGCATTCTTAGGTTAGGTAGTTAGGTATCAGGATAATTTGAATTTTGAAAACTTTTGACTCTGGTAAATTCAGGTTCTATGAAAAGTAAATAAATTGATTGACTCTGACTAAGTGAAACTGTAAAAGTTGTAGACAATGTGGCACATCACATGATCACATGCCTTTTATTGTCTACATTTCAATTGCTAATTTGTTGTTATGCCAAACCAGCCTAATTTAACCCTTTACTGCCCGAATTTCTGGGACAAAAATCGTAAATTTCACTTTTTTGGGTTTTAGTCTTGCACCTTAAAGGAAAGCTGACATTCTGACCTATCCAACGGTGCCAAAATCATCTCTGTAAGTTGATTTATGCCTTGACGACAGTTCGTGAAAGGGTTAGGGGTGGGGGAGTTCTTTCACATTTAATATAGACAAAAATTACTGGCCGGGCTAGTATGGAATATATCTACTTGGCGAGCCGCGACTGAATTTTTTGAGCCGTGGTTTTATGGATTTGCCAGCCGTGATTCCATTTCTACGAGCCGTGATTC